TTTATGCTATCTATAATAATAAAAAGCATAATATGCTAATTAGACCGGACGACCTTCTGGACAAAGCCAGGGCTGCGAGGGAAGCCCAGGGTCCCAGATGCTTGCCGGCAGCTGGAGGGAAGCCCAGGTTCTGGGTGCCAGAGGGAAGCTGGTGCCAGCAGCCAGGGAAAGGAAGGCCTACTCTTGCATGAATTTTGTGCATCGGGCCTCTAGTCTTGTATAAAGCCAAAGGCAGTTAAAAATGGGTTTTAATTTATTTAGATTACTTACAGTTTATAAATATGAATAAAAATAATTTTTGAAGAAACTGAGAAATGAAGGGGAAAATATCAAATTTCATCATCGTAAAATAACCACTAGGCTTTTAAATATTTTAAAAATAATCTTACTTATGTATATTTTTATATTTTTAAAATATAAAATATGTCTGAGAACCATTATACAAATTATAAATGAGAGAAAGATTCAAAGGTGATAAAATAAGAGTCTATGCCCTAAAGAGAACAACTGCTCTCCCACTCAGAGGTCAAGATACCCTGAGCTTCTGCATTGGGTATTTTACTCCAAGTCTTAAAGAATCTAGTATAAAATTCTTAAATTTCCCAGCTGACTAAATAATTAAACAAGAAGGAAGAGTTAGGGTTCTATAGTAAATAGACACTTAAATGATTATTGGGAACTTGAATTTAGGTTTTGACCCACTTCCTTTGTGACTTGGTAACTTCACTGGACTTCAAATGTGTTGAGCTTCAAATGTATGAGTTTAGTTCACAAACATTTAAACCTAATATGTCTAAGTTAGGTGCTGGGTTTTGGTATAATTCAGTCCAGCTTTTATGCACCCACACCTCCACTGACCAGTACTCTGAGTTGAAGATTGATAAGAATTGGGCCTAAATAAGAATTAGAGCCTCTGAATAACTGAATAATAAAAAGTTTAAATAGAATGGTCACCTGTAAAGCTAAAGACTTTCAAAGCTTCTATACAAAAAGTTATTTTGACCCCAATAATAGAGGATTATGGTTGACCATGTACATTTTATTTTTCCCTATATGGCTTTGAATTATCAGGATGACAACTACTTCAATTTAAAATTCTTTGTTGTAGTAATAATAGTGATTATTATATCCCAGGCATTGTTTACATTTGTTAAAGGTGGGTTCTGTAACTTCTCTGTAACTTTTCAAGGACACACAGCTAGTAAGTTTTGGAGCCAGGATCTAACGTGTGAAAGTTTGACTTTAGACTCCTCACTAAGCCACAACACAGTATAGTTTTAAAAGTGTACAGCTCTCTTACAGGAGATTTGTGTCCAGAATATATAAAGAACTTCTAGAAGAATTGGTAATAAAAACAGCATAATAAAAAAATGATCAAAAGACTTAACAAAGAAGCTATACAAATGGCCAGTAAGCATATGAAAAGATGTTCAACATCATGAGTTATCAGAGAAATTGATATTAAAACCAGCATAGGTTACCAGTATATACTCAGTACAATGAATAAAATTTAAAAGTCTGAAAACATTCAGTGTTGGTAAGGATGTGGCACAACTTCCATACATTATTGATGCTACCATACATTATTGATGGACTGTATGATGGTACAACCACTTTGGAAAACAGTTTTTTAGTTTACAATTAAACATACTACCCGCCCTAGCTGGTTTGGCTCAGTAGATAGAGCTTTGGCCTGCAGACTGAAGGGTCCTGGGTTTTGATTCTTGTCAAGGGCACATGCCTTGGTTGCAGGCTCGATCTCCAGTAGGGGGCATGCAGAAGGCAGCCAATCAATTATTATCATCATTGATGTTTCTATCTCTCCCTCTCTGAAATCAATAAAAATATCTATATAATAAAAAACCCAGTGGTCGTAACACCATAAGGACCAAAGATCGGTCACCAGTAGGCTGCATGCATGGTGAGGTGCGCGCGGGTGGGTGGGGACTTGACTCTGGGTCCCACGGCACACCGGGACTCGGTGGTCTGGGGTCTCACACGATTTCCCGTGGGTCTGGGTCTCATGCGATTTCGTGCGCTGGGTCACTAGTATATATATAAAAACATATTACCCTGTGAATTAAAAGGTACAAGTATTGACACTGATTCCATGTATATGAAATCCCATAATAGGCAAAACTAATGTGTATGCTAGAAATCAGAACCATGGTTGTCTATTTGATGGGAGAGAGGCTTAAAGGACGTTTCTGTAATCATAAAATCTTTTATAGCATGATTACCAGTGTTTGTTATGAAGACATGTACATTTGTCAGAATTTATTGAATTATATATTGAGATCGGAATATGTTATTGTGTGTAAAGTATACTTCAATAAAATATGTAAAATGAAAAAAGGAAAGTGGAATATTTTAAACAGGCACTATGGCAAGAGAAATGACAACTGGCAATCTAGGACTTAGAACATAGAGGCTGAGTAGCATAGAACTGTTAACATAGAACTTCAGTTGATATTCAATAACCAAAACAAGTTTATGTTCAGTATATTTTTCTAAGTTAGCAAGGTATACTATTTTTAGAAAGGATTTCATCAATAATTATTATATTAAAAGCATTAGAACTAAAATGCTTAGATGTCAGTTATTTAGAACATTAGTAGATGAAACACACTTCTTAGATTTTATGTAAAGAGTATTTGCGGTTAATATTGGGAAATGATTCTGAATAGAACTAGAATGTAGTGTAGTCTCTTACGAATAGTCTTCCAAAAAGAAGGCATGAAATTCAGGTTTCAATTACTTGATAAGTTATTGAAACAGAACATTTGTTTTTATATGATTCGTGTGATTTAGATTCCAAGCTGTGAGAAGATATAAAAAACATGTTGTCTCAATTTCAGAATTTTATTTATAATAAATTCCAGAAATGTTAGAAAGTTATAGGTGTCACTATTAAATATACTAAAATATAGCAGTAATTTATCCTGGTTGTACTGCAGCAGTTGAATATATAGACAAATTTGATGAGGGCCTATGTAATTTGACAGTGTTTGTCTCTGGGGTTTTTCTTAACTTGTTCCATGACAATCAAATGTGCTTGAACTATTCAAATGATTAATTGAAATAAGAGTTCTGTAGTCTTTTATTGTGAGGTTGATCTTTAAAATAAAGGTTAACCTTTTAAGTTAGTTTATGTTTTTGACATCTTTCAAGTAGATTACTTTCTGTAGACTATCATGGAAGTAGTAAGCACTTTAACTGATGTGGTCTTTGATTTCTCAAACAAGACTGGAAGCTTGGCTGGTTTTTGTTTACGGAAAAACTAACTTATAATCTTTGCCTTTGTTTTAGTAATAGTTATGCACGAGTGCGAGCTGTGGTGATGACCCGGGATGACTCCAGTGGCGGATGGCTGCCCCTCGGAGGTAGTGGACTGAGCTGCGTCACTGTCTGCAGAGCCTCCCACCAGGAAGAGGATGGCTGCTCTGACTTTCTTATCCGTGGAGAGCGGCTCAGGGACAAAATGGTAACTGATAATGCATTTATTATAATTTTAAGATTCCATAGAATGAATTATTAATTTAAAATAATTATTAGTGTGCCATAATTGATGAGAATTATTTTTGCCCAGGATTAATGGTTATGTTTTCTGAAACTCTTTTAATATTAAGCATGATGAACTATTCCTGTTTTTTTTTGCAACTGGAAATAACATTAATGCACCCATGTTAGAGGAGAGCTGCTTTTGTGGTTAAGTTTAATGGAAGTGTTCCTGGGTAGTCCCCCTACCCTAGTTCGGCGTGTCAGCATTTTGAAAAACCCTAACTTAACTCTGGTGCCGTCTCACATATAGAAATTTTTTGATATTTGCAACCATAGTAAAACAAAGACTTATATTTTTGATATTTATTTTATATATTTAAATGCCATTTAACAAAGAAAAATCAACCAAAAAAATGAGTTCGCGTGTCACCTCTGACACGCGTGTCATAGGTTTGTTATCACTGCCCTAGTTATTAAACCAGGTACACCCTGCCTCTCCTTCTCTCCACTATCTCCTAGACTGGAGGCTGGCAAGCTATATAGTCCACAGGCCAAATCCAGGCCTGCCACCTGTTTTCGTACGGCCCATGAGTTGGTTTTAGCATTTTTAAATAATTGAAAATAATCAAAGAAGAGTAATAATTTCGTGGCACATGAAAATATGTTTGTGGACTGGTTAAGCATCTATGATGTTTTTTTCTATTGAAAAATGTATTTTAAATTCTAAAATTTTCATACATGAACATTTTAAGTTATTTTTAATTTGTTGATTTAAAAGGGAGGGAGAAAGAGAGAGAAACATCAATTTGTTGTTTCACTTATTTATGCATTCATTGGTTGATTCTCGTATGTGCCCTGACCAAGGATCAAACCCACAACCTTTGCATATCGGGAGGATGCTCTAACCAACTGAGCTACCCAGTCAGGGCTTTAGCATTTTAAATAAATTTATTTTTAATTTTGGTTATTGGTTTCTGAATAATCTTTACTATTGAATTATTTCAGTTATTTAACTTTTCTTCTTAAACTAACTTTCTTGTGCCCCGGTTTCTGCCTCAGTGAAAGGGAGAGTTAGCCTAAGTCATCTTGAAAGTCTCCCAGTTCTAGTGTTTTGTGAGCTTATGATTCACTCCTAACAATGCATCTCAGTGAACCAGAATGTCATTTTAGGATTGTAGGAAACCCCAGTATCTAAAGGTGATTCTGGCTTTCCATAAGATGGTGGCTGGCACATACTATTGCTAATCTATATATATAAAATCCTAAGCAACGGTTTTGACCGGTCACTATGACGACGCACTGACCACCAGGGTGCAGACACTCAACTTAGGAGCTGCCCCCTAGTGGTCAGTGTGCTCCCACAGCCAACCTCCCTCGGTCCCTCCCCCCAAGCTGGCAGGGCCCGATTGGCCCTGATCACTGGTCAGGCCGAGGGACCCCACCCATGCACGAATTCATGCACCAGGCCTTTAGTTTAAAATAAGGCTTTGTAGACTTCTCAGAAAGAGTTTATGGTGACTTGTCCTGGACTATAATACTACTCATCTGAGCTAATGGTAACTGGGAAATGTTGTTGGAGGAGAAGTTGTTGATTTTAGAAACTGAGTGTAAAATACTGATGATCTAAAAATATTAGCTGTATTAATGGACAGATTATTTTAGGGTAATTTAATAAATGACATAATCTGCATAACTAGGAGTGAGGCTGATCAGAATCAGCTCAGACTGATGGATTAGGGGTTGGTCATTGTGGCTTTGACATAAAGCTAGTTCGGATAAACCTGGGATTCAGAAAGAACACAAACTTACTCCCTATGGCAGGCTTAAAAGGAGCCCTTAGGTGTAGAATTATAATAGACTAACAAGAAAATACATTCTTCTGATAGATGCACTGACTAGGAATCAGAACATTTGTTGTTTCACCTGACCACTTCTCCTTGAGGAAGCTTGTTATCTGTGTAACAGGGTAATCAATATATCTCAGTGTAGACATGAAGGAAAAGTTATTCACTTGGAGGGTTGCCATATTTCTTGCAGAGATTAGCTATATAGTAAAGCATTTTAGTTTATGGGGACTTGTATGATTAAAGACAGAGGCAATAATGCATGGTTATAAATTTAAAACAGCAGTGTCTTGTGGAATTTCAAGACAAATAGGACAGTGACATTGAAATAAGCAGATTAATTACCCCCCTCTGCTGAGTAATACACTTTTGATCAAGACACTTCTGAAGCAATACAGAATTGAAGTATATATATTTTTTTATTGTCACTGCATTTTGGATTCTTAATGTCCATTTCTGTAGAGGTTTTTATTGATTGGTTTTATTTCAATTCCGTATGCTGAGTTCTAGTTTTTTTATTTATCTAAGAAAGAAGTACGCTGTGACTATTGAGTCTATAAATTTACAGCGTTCTTCCCAAGTTGATAGTTATCTTTAAAATCCTCATTTGCTAAAAACTGTTTTGTACCCGTTTTGTCTGTTGGTCACATCTTAGAATCCTTTACCTTAGATAAATTCTAAAAATGAAGTGAAATACCTGCCCCTCATATCCCAAGAAAAACTTGTGGTCTTTAAGAAGGAATAGATAATTAGTACAGAGGAGTACCATGGCCATTTGTATAGCTAACAAAGAAATATTGGTAATATTTTAAAGAGTGTTCATAAATCAGAATGCTGGTAATAGTAGTGAAAGGAAAGATGGCTTTTCTTAAGGCTGAAGGAAGCACTTTGGTAGAAGAGTTTTTGCAGCTTTTGATGTGCAATCACTTGTATTAAAATATGTCTTTTACACTTCTAAAAGGTTTATATTTCACTCATTTATCACTATTTTTTAATAAGAAACGAGCATAAATAAAGAGTAAGCTGACTGGGATTTTTTTCAGGAAGTCAGTTTGTGTGTTTTGGGGGTAGGACTCATTCATTTATTGATCTGTTCATTCTGAGTACTCAGAAATTATTTCCTGTGATGCTTACTTTCTTGTTTTTATGATGCTCATAAAGGTAGAGTTTATTTTACAGATTACCCTTTTGCTGCTCGAAGTGAGAGCTTCCCAAGCTATGCGCCGTGAATAAAAGTGGCTGGAGCCTCTTGGTTTGTTGCCTCTTAACTGGTAGCAACTCCTCTTTCCTGGATGCCTTATAAAGGTTATATTTTTGAGGGTGCCTGAGGAAAAAGTTGGAAAGCACTGAGAAAAAACAGGGTTTGGTGTTGTATTCTAAGGTAATCAGAGTACTGCCTTTCTTCCAGACACTTGGGTATGGAATGGTCTTTAACAAGGATAGATTCTCAGAACCGCTTTTCTTGATCTGTATAAGTTGTAGCCTCCATTGCCTTCTAAATCTTTATAACCTTGATTTCTTCCTTTAATTCTCGAGTACAAATTAGTGTTATCCTCGATCACATATTTCTTAAATGCTAGCTAAAATTTAACTGTTATTTTGTATAGTTAACCTTTACTGAGCTTCACATTCTCTATAATAGAAAATTTCTCTTTTGCATTCATTTTTTTATTAGATATATTAGATAGGCCCTTCTCTGTTAGTATGACACTTTATTTTATTGGAAAACATTTTATCATATGTATAGGTTATATTTTTTTATCATTTTTAGCTGAACTGTATGTGATATGTAAATTTAAAACACTGTATTATAACACACCCTTAAAGTCTTTATAAGTAGCTGAATAAACTGTCCATAATGACATTAAAATTTTGCTAAAATATTTACTACTAAAAGTTTTAAATTACCATGGGAATGTACTCTTATGTTTATGTAGTAGGCAATAAAATACTGTAAACTTACAAATGTAATTAAAATTATGCTTTTAAAAGCATATTACGTGCTAAGAGATGACAAAATATGGAATAGGCTACACAGAAAGATACAATAGGACTCTTACAACATATGTATTACTTGAGATAGTCTGTAGAAATAAGAAAAAGGCACTGTTATGTCAGCAAAGTTATACGATAGTTATCATTATAAACTTATAGTGACAAAGTTATTAATGGTAAAGGTAAAAATAATAAAGGCAAAAATGAAGTGAAGAAAAGGAAAATAAGAAAAATTTCAGGTTAGGAAGTTGCCAAAGAGATTAAGGATATGTTTTTCAGATTAATAAATATAATTAGGTTGTAGATAAAAAGTGACCTATAAAAAATAAAAATGCCTGTAAGATAATAGTTTTATTGTTTAAAATGACATTGTAAAAATGAGTTTTCTTTTCAGTTATTAGAGCCTAAAACAAAATTAGAGGATTTGTTTTCTAGGGAGAAAACATAGGAGTAGCTTTATTAACAGTGAGACTCACCCCCTTTCCATCATGGGACACTTTAAAAGACCAGGGACACATCTTTCTGCCTTGGATTGAACTTTATAAAAGTACAGAACATTAATTTCTTACTTGGCTTTTCCCATTGTGCCTCTGAATTATTGCATTGTGAAACCTCAATCTTCCACTAAAAACCAATTGCATTAACTACTTTTCTCTTTAAGATTCAGCAGCTCTGTCTCTTGAAAGATACTGGTTCTCCTTTGACTATAATATCACAGTTAGGGGGGGAAGTGGGAGTATAGATGGTGTTAGCATAATTTTAATTATGCTTTATTCGCCGAAGTATTGCTCTATCAACTACATACATATATAAACCCCTTTATTGACAGTGTTCCATTCAAATCACCATCCATTAGCTTTCATTTTCATCTACTGACCTTAGCAATTCCTTCCCATAGCAACTCTTCCACATCTGAACCTCATCATTATTCTTGGCTACTTTGCTTGCACAGTCTTGACCTTTTGGTCTTCATTTCAGCAGGCTGCTTTCCTGGATCTGGTTGTTATCCAGAACTGTTCCATTTGAGGAATTTTACAATTTCCTCTCATTTCTTTTTTATTCCCCTTCCCTTGCTCTACAATTTCATGCTTACTCTATTACTTTGTGCCTTCAATTTTCCCCAGTTTCACTAGATTCCTCTGGC